TAACCTTTTAAAAGCCCAAATTCTGAAATGTCCACAGTGACATGTTACATACATTTAAATGGTGTCCACAATCCCACTGGTACTTCACAGCACTTAGTATAAATACACTATTTCACCATTCATTGCCTACCTACGGAAATTATTCACCAGCCTCCGCAGGACTTCCCCATCTGTGCACAAGCTAACAGTTGAGATCACGTGAACTCAGTTGGGCATCTTACGTCAGTGCCATTCTTCTGGAAAGCTCCGTGAGGGCAACACGGGTATAGGTGTTTTATTTTGGTCAAGGCAAATTATACATAACATTGTTTTGACTTACGCTGGAGCATGATGGGGGGTTAGAAATATATCACAGGGGCTGGAGAGATGGCTCAGTGATTAAGAGGGCTGGCTGCTCTTGCAGAGGACCCAGGTTTGGTTCCCAGGACCCAGAAGGCAGCTGACAGCCTTCCATAACTCCAGTTCCAGGGGATCCAATGCCCTCTTCAATGTTGGACATTGCACAACACAGGTGCACTTGCTTACATGCAGGTAATACACTCAAAACCATAAAATAAAAACAATTAAAAAATAAAAATATATTCCAGCTGAATATTAGCCCTTTGGTGGAGGGTGTTTGTGTCTAAGCACGTGGTGCTTGTTGCTTCTACAGACTGCTGTTAATGATACTGGAAACCTTTAAAACTGTGTATTATGAGTAAGAGAAAAATGTCACTAGTTTTATGCATACTTTGTTCAAATAAAAGAAAGGAAGACTTAAAAAAAAATAAAGATGTCCAAAGGTGGCATGCAGCATAAGACAGGTGATATGTCAGCTCTTCCAAATTTCTTTATAGGTGCCATCTAATCAATGGCCACAAGAATGTTTGAGTAACAGGAAGAGGGGGAGAGAAAGCAGGAAATCTCTACTTAGGCCTGGTAAGTTCTGGTGCCCATAAGGGAAACATGTCCTCTTATGAAAGGGAATGGTGGTAATCTAGGCATTTCTAGCAGCCTTTATTGAGATACAGTTTATGTGTCGTCAAATCCATACATTTAAAGTATACAATTCAGAGGGTTTTAGTACATATAGCATGTTCAGCAATCACCACTGCCAATTCTGGAATTTTTTTTAATCTTCTCAAAAAAAAAAAAATACTGCATCACTTTTACTATCACTCCCTTCCTTCCAACCCTCCATCCGAGCCCTCGGCACCTAGTTTCTATCTCTGTTGATACTATTCCATTCTATAATTTCTATGAATAAGGACTTTTTGCTTGGCTCTTTTACTAGAATAATGCTTTCAAGAATCATTCACGTTGCAGCATGAATTAGTCCTTCATTCATTTTTTTTCATGGCTACTGAGCCATTCTATGGATGTACAGTCATGTGTCAAACAAAAATGGAGACACAGTTTAAGAAGAAGGTCATCAGCCAATTTTGTTAGCCTACCACATTGTATACTTAAATAAAGTTGGCTACAATATCATCAGCTGATATCATTTTATGGACCCCCTAATGTATAATGTGGCCTGTTATTTATGAAAGTATCTTTATGCAGTGCAAGACCACACTACATTCTACGGGCATTTGAGTTGCTTCCATTTATTTTTTTCTTGAAGTCAACTCAGATATACTTTAAAGACTAAAAAAAATTATTAATGATCATATGTTTAAAAATTTTTAAATATATACCAATATATTATTATTAAGGCATGAATTTGTATTAATGGGGTTTTGTTTTACTACCATAGAAGAGTCAGATCATACTATTATGCTATAAAGCAGAAGGAGGAAATGGTTCTTCTTCCCGGTTCTGTTACCCACACTGTGACACTTGGTAAATACTGTTCATTTACTCTGTGCCTGAGTGGCTTAATCATCTGAATCTGGGGCACAAAAAGTGGCTTTAAAATATCCTACAGCGATGAACAACTTATTCTTAATGCAATACTACATGGAATCTTAACACATAAGATAAATAAGTTTCTTAGTCGTATAAATGCATTGTTTACAACTCAAGTTCAGAACATTCTTTAAAATTCAATCCATGACTAGAACTAGTTGATATGAGTATTTAAAATCCAAAGTTAAGGGTGACAATTTTAATCTAGCAAAGGCAACACTCTGTTTGTTTCTATATACTGTGTTAATTTTAGAAAAATCTAATACTTTAGAAAATTCTAATATTTCCTGAACGATAAATAAGCACTTTAAAAGTTCACCTTACAATTTCTTAACCATTAAACAAAGAGGACCTGAGATGTTTATTCCTTGAAGCATTGTTTCTAATATGAGTGCTTTGTGCTAAAATATGTATCTTTCAAAAACAAACTCAACAAAGTGAACAGATAGCCTGCAAAACAGAAGAAAATCTTTGCCAACTATACTTCATGCAAAGGATTGATATCTTGGATATATAAAGAACTGCAAAAACTAAACATGAAAAAAGGCCAAAATTGCCAATACTAATTTTTATGTGCATATTTATGTAGGAACCAATGTGGGTATAGACCAGGAAACTAGAAAGCAGCCCATGAGATGGAATAAAGACACTTTAAAGGCTTTGGGTGGAGAAACTTCAAGAACACAGGTGACATGAAAGTAAAAGGAGAAGCATGGGACAGAAGAGAACAGCGGACTTATACCTGGGAGATGGGGGTCTGGGAGATGGGAAGGGGATGTACAAAATGAAAGTGTGTGAAAACACCACCAAAGGATGCTATTTTGCAAGTGAATTAAAAATTAGATAAATAGGGGCTGGAGAGATGGCTCAGCAGTTAAGAACACTGGTTGTTCTTGCAGAAGACCTGGGTTCGAATCCGAGCACCCACATGGCAGCTAACAACTCTCTGTAACTCCAGTCCCAGGGGGTCCGACAGCCTCTTCTGACCTCCACGGGCATTGCACGACATGGGTGCACTTACCTACATGCAGTAAATTAAATAAATAAAACTAAAAATAAATAAAACATTGCAAAAATAAATGTATTCATTCTCTCAATGTAGTGGTTTGAATAAAAATATTCCCCATAGGCTCCAAGTATTTGGACATTTTGTCCCCAGTTGATGGAACTATTTTGGGAGGTTTTAGGAGGTGTGACGTTGCTGGAGGTAGTATGTCACTGGGGGAAGGCTTTGAGAGTTCTTTAGCCTTGCCAGATTTCCAGTTGCTTTCTGTATCCTGTGCCTGTTTGACAATGTGAAAACTCCACTTTCTCCTCTGGCTATCTCCTGCTACCATGTCTCCCTGCCATCATGGACTCTAATCTCTCTGGAACCGTAAGCTCAAATAAACTTTTCTCCTATAAGTTTCTTTGGACACAGTGTTTTATCACAGTAAAAGAAAAGTAACTAACTCACTAAAATATAAATAAACTTGAATCATTTGTAAAATCTCTGAGGCAGAGGCTCAGAATATGCGTAAAGTGCTTGATGTGCAAGCACGAAGACCTGAGTTCAGATCCTCAGAACCCATGTAGAAGCCATACATGGCTGAATACACCCTTAAACCCAACACTGCAGGGTGGAAATGGGCAGATCCCAGGGGCTCGCTGTCCAGCCAGTCCAGCTGAAATGGTAAGCCTCAGATTCAGTGGAGAGAACGTCTCCTAAAAGAACATGGAGACTGATAGACGAAACCCTAATGTTATGTCTGCCCTCTACCATGTATACACACACACACACACACACACACACACACACACACACACACACACACACACACTGAGACATGCATAGATTATATAAGCTAATAAATAACTATAGTGTCCCTCCCAGGCTTGTAGATTTGAAGATTCATGTGTAGGTCCTGCCTATCCTTTCTGATGATTCTGGGCTGGTGAGATTACTTGTAGCTACTGATAACTGGATTTCACCCATTTTTCTTGAAGAGAGAACAGATAGGAAAGGAGGAAAGAAAGAATGTTATGCACTTGATAAAAACACTCAACAGAAACATCTCCCTCAGCAGATATTAAGACTCCTCCTGAACTCAGAAGCCCCAGGAATCTGATGACAGAAGGAAAACAGTCTCTTAAAGAAACAACGGGAACTTTGAGCAATCACATTTTCAGATTGGCCACAAGGGTTTGGCCCTGGAATGTCAGCAGGTGGGAACCAGCTATGTATATATCTCTCATGTGTGCTACAAGGAATCCTTTGCTAAGGTCTACATTAACAATGATATAATTTATTTTAACTAACATCAGCATACATTATTGGAAATACATTTGATTGTAGATAATTTTGTATTCTTATTTTGGAGTTCCGTTTATTAAATTTTTAAATAACATTTCTGTTTACATCATTCCATTTCATATTTCCAGAAGGATGAAAACCCCATTTTATTTCTGCCTTCTTCATTCTTCTCTATTCACTGCACTTTTGGTATATTTTCTACATAATGCATCTTCAACACTGTTTAGCTGAGAGTGTATTCAAACAATTCAAATCCAGAGCATTTAGCTTATCCAAAGCGTGTCAGTTCTCCTCAAAAGTGTTGGCATTCCTTTTGATTCTTTGAGCTTCTAGATGCCTGTATGGCTTTCAAAACTGCTAGTTTTTTTCCTTTGTTTTATAGCTAGATATTCTTAGCTAGTGCATTTTTGTAGTATACTTCTTATAACTTTTTATTTTTTTACTTGTTCAATCATTTTTTTCAGTTTCATGGAAGGTAACTATTGGATTTTTATTTGTTCATTTTTATTAATTTTGAAGTTAGCATACAATGCATAATAAGTTTCATTATAGCATTTTTGCACACCATAACATTTGTTAGTCAAAATCAGAAAACTCAAAACCAAAGGAAAAACATTGTTTAGTTTTAGAATTCAACATACAGATGTTTAACAATGATGTGTGATCTAGATTATGCCTCTAGGAGTTATAGCGTTGAATAATTTACTGTTTATTTTCCATTCACCCATTTAAACTGGAGCTGGTAGCACCAACAGCTGGAGCAAAGGGGGGACAGCTGGGTCTGCCTTACTGCTATTCTGTGACTTTATAATCCACTCACCTCCTCCAAAAGGTCCCCATATGACTCGGCGGATAGACCTCACCCAGTCTTCCATATCAGTCTGGGTGCTCGCCATGAGAAGGTAGCTCTCATGATTGGCTGTCATCCGATCTCGATCGCCTCCTGTAAAAATAAAAGCACTGATTCAGCTGAGGGTTCAGTCAGAGGGAAATGATTCCTCATCATCAAGCTTCTAGGGACTCCCAGAAACACAGTCAGCTCTGCATCCTTACCTAATGAGCTTGAAATATTGACCTTAGCTCTGGAGAACCTGGGATGGGGGTTGCTACTTAAAAAGGAAAGGGGTTTATGTTTCCAGGAGAAAACTAAGAACAAATGCCATTCCCCAAACAACGCCTGGGGTTTTCTGTCCTAGCAACAACCATACTCATAATCCAATCTATTCACAGAACTGCTGAATAGGGAGAAACAGCAGAGACAAAGGGAAAGAAGATGATGGGATAGTGGTTCACAGAGCTTGGAATTTCATCTGCAGCAACCACTGAACACTGCTGGGTGCACACACAGCTGGCACCAGGCCACCATTGTGGATGGGATTTTGGGAAGAGGTGGACACTCATGTAACACTTTAGAGCTCGAATTCCTCTGTCCCATGAGGAATTCAATCTTCAAGGTCATAATTGAAGGGGTGTATGTAAAGGGGTGAATGGAGAGGAGTTGCTTACCTGGTCAGCTACAAAAACCAAACCATTGCTCTAATGGCCCTGACACCTGAGTCTGAGCTTACAGAAGCCTTCATAATGCCTTGGGGCAAAAGGCTGATTATATCTCTTTTATTTTTCCCCAAATAACCCATTCACTTAAAAATCTTTATAGTCTTTACTATTGAATTAGAAGAGTGAGATTCTAATGCACACAATTTAATTTCCAAGAAATCCTTTAGAGTGCATCTTAGATTTCCTGGGGCTTAACTTCCAATGTATAGAAAAAGAGCAACCACAACTGGCCAATGAAACAGGTTGTGAGCTCTTTTTATATTTAAAGGAGTATTTCGGAAGACAAGTATTATGAGCTGAACTGCTTCAGTCTCTGAAAATAGCTTGTAGTGCTCACAGAAGGAATAATTAAAGAAATGGAAGTGATTCACCGAATTCTGACGATATGCTAACACTACTGTTCAGGTGCTCAGTATCTATTAGCATTTAATTTTCACTAAGTGTTGTAAGCTTGCAGCCTCTGCATTAATTAATTCATATTCAAGTGTTTTGTTTTGTTATTTCATTGATTGTTGGTAGGGTTGAATACTTTTATGAAGGACCTGTAGGTTCCAGTTATCAAAAGATACCACCTGCTCTCTACCCCTTACACCCAAGCTAATTCACAACTAGTTTTGGAAGCTAAGTTTAAGCATCTGAGACCAGAGCACTTTAAGACCTTCTTAACTCATTGCCCTTGGTTAAGAAGAAAAACTATTCTTACATTGTGTGTGTGTGTGTGTGTGTGTGTGCGCGCGCGCACACACACACACACACGCGCGCGCGCGTGCGTGCCTGGCATAACCAGAAGAAATTTGAAGCCTACCAGTTGAGCAACAAGACTGGTCTTTTCTTCTCCTATGCGCGCGCGTGCGTGCCTGGCATAACCAGAAGAGTGGGAAATTTGAAGCCTACCAGTTGAGCAACAAGACTGGTCTTTTCTTCTCCTATAACTGGACTGCAGGGATGGTGTAAAGGAGGAAGGAGGTCAGTGTGCTAAATGAACATCAAATAGATTTCTTGATGTGAAAAAAATCTCTTGGATTATCAAGAAGAATCAGTCTTTGGGTGAGAAATATTAAGTATGTGAAAATGAGAGCACTGTACCAGGAAAAGATAGAAATTCGGTGACTATTAATTGTGTTTCATATAACTACCTTCACACTGACCAGAGGGACACATCTAATAAATCCTTGGGAACAATTAATCAATAGTAACAAGGACTACTTTTTAAACATTATCATTATTGAAACTGATATACATAAAATATATGTTAAAATGATACACTGTGGTACATGTGAATCTACCACTCTTCAATATACCCATGGCTGTATCACATGTAACTAATAAAAATTAATGGTAAAATGAAATGACGCTTCAGCTGGCATGGCACGGTATTAAGAATCTGTTCTGTATTCTGAGCCATTTATCCCACAGCACTGAGCCAAAAAAATTAGCATTTTGAAATCAGAATATTTTAATTACTGTCTTTGCCTGAAGGATGCTTAGTAAATCAGACAGCAATTTCCTGCTGTGTCACCCCCAGACCAGGCATGAGTGACAGCTGAGGCAGAACTGTTCTGCCCGAAAGCAGAGGAAAAGGCAACTGATAAGCACAACTGGCCATTATCCCTGACTTTTCATTTGCTGCTTTATCTCTGTCAAGGATGCTGTGTGTCTGACCTTGAATCTCATTTAGTCTGTCAATCACAGATATGAAATCCCATCTGTGGATGTTATTTGTTTATACAGATCTTGAATCTGTGTGTATTAGTAAGAAAAAAGATTTAGAACAGCATTTACTGAGTCTTGTTGGAAATACAGACTCTTTACAAAGAATGTGATTTGAGTAATTATATAGATAAAGATAGCACTATCCTTATATTCATGTTTTTCTGAAGTTTCAGTTATTTGACATCAACTGAAGTCTAAAGATATTATATGAAAAATCCAAAAATTAAAAAATCATGACTTTTAAAGAACATTCTATAGTATATAACTATGATTTTTTCTTATTGCTGCTAATCTCTTACTGTACCAAATTTGTTAACTAAACTACATTGGTATGTATGTATGGAAAAGAAACATATGCACAGGTTTACAGGCATCCACTATGGGTCTAGGGGTGTATGTGCTGGGGACAGCATAGGACTGACCACTGGGAGGGTAGGAACTGGATACTCTGCCCTAAAACAGGAACCCTTGAGTTCTAAGTCTCATATTGTGCCTTGGAATTAAAGGGGACAAAATACAACTTAGCAAATATATACATCCAGACACACACAGATACACCTAAAATTTAAAAAAAAAACGTTAAAAATTCCTAATGAGTTTAATAGATTAAGAAACTTTTAGTTTAAAACTAAATGTTAAATAAAAGAAACCCATATAAAAGAAAATGTATAGTTAATTCAAAACAAAGTTCAAATGTTGTCACTTTATAGTCTTAAATTCAGCCACAAAATAATTTAAAGTATGATATTTTTGAACCAACGTACAAATACTTTAAAAACATTTTTTCATGTGAATGTGTATGGTATGTGTGTGCAAATGCATGGCTGCATGTGTGTGGGCACACCCATGAGAGGGCAAGTGCACTTGCGTGCATGGAGGACCAAGGCTGATTTCAGAAGTCTTCTTTGAGACCTCTCTGCCCTACTTGTTGAGGCAGGGTCTTTCAACTGAACCCAGAGTGCCATGATAGTCCAGCTAGCCAGCTTGCTTCAGGGACCCCTGTCTCCACCTTCAGAATGCTGGAATTACAGGTGGGTCACAGCACATCCCACCTGACATTAAAGTGGGTTCTAGATAGTCAAACTCCTGTCCTCATGCTTGGATGGGAAATGCTTTAACCATTGATCCATCTCCCCAGCCCAGGCATACAATTTTTTTTTTAATTTTAGGAAAGAGTATTGAAAGAGATAGAAACATGTATTTATTGTTTGTAAGAACATAAATAATATTCTTTGTGATGAAGTCACTAAAATAGGATTTGGAAGTTTATTAACATGAGTTCCCATTATAGAAAAGTAACACTTTTATATGACATCTCAATTTTCATTATTAGCAAAAGGAAACTTAAGACACTACATTGAAGTACATAGCAATTTAGATTGAGGAATTTGTTTCCCCTTTGTACATTTAGTCATTTTCCGTATGTTCACCCATTACTTCTAGATGCTTCTAGGAGGTGTTTTCAGAGACAATAACTGGATGGAAGTGCTACTACCCCTTCAAATGTCTGTTAAATGCCTTCCAGATTTGTTGTTGTTGTTCAATATGAAGCCCTCCAAAATCATCCAAAATCAAGCAAGTAGCTGTCATATCATTCTGACCCAAAGTAAACTTTTTTCCTTGTATTATTAAATACTTTCCTCAGAGATACTTCTGTGTTCCATTTGTTTTTGAACATGCAATACAAGATGAAAACTGGTAAGTCTCTATGTATGAGCATCAGTATGTATGAGTTTCTTCATTAAAACCCCTCACTGTCTCTGTTGGGGAGACACTGTTTGGGAGCTATCTCTCTTCACTCTTTTATTTTCTGCTGTGCTTATTGACTGGCTTTGCTCTTACCAAAAGGTGAGTCCATTGCATCCAGTTATGCTTCTACCATGCATTACTTTATTATCAGGAAAACAAAAGAATGGATGACAAGAATTATAAGGTCATGAAAGCACAAAATAATACAAAGTTAAGATGAACTAGAAGAGAGTTATCACTCACCAGTGATGCTTAAGGTTATCCAGTGTGCTTAGCCTACAACCTTTCCCTGCTTTCCCAGATACCAATTCCTGAGTGTGCCCTCAATAGAAGATTTGTGACAGAGACCAGTGTTCTCACAGTCCAGAGTACACCTATTCCTAAGACTTTCTCAGTGAAAAAAAGGGACTGCTAGCATTATGTATAAACCCTTCTAAAACTTACATCTGAGAAACATTTAAGTTCCTTGTGGGGAAAGTTCCAGAATCATTCACAATTATGTTTTTATCTTAAATGTGTGCTCAAAGGTCCATAGACTAAAAGCTTTGTTGCTAGCATATAGCACTATTAGGAAGTGTTAGAACCATTATGAGGTGGAGCCTAGTGGGAGGGCTTAGACCATTGGAAAGATGCCTTTGAGTGAGGTGCTGGGATTGGTTCCCCTTTTGTTTCTCTGTGAACAGGCACCACATTTTCCCCACATGCTTTCCTCAAAGGGATGGGGCAAGGTGAGAATGGCCAGAAACCTATGAAACTATGAAGCTATCAAAAAATTCTTTCCTCCATACAATTTGTCTATCTCAGGCTTTTTATTACAGTGACAGAAAGCTAGCTAATGCATTTGCAAAATAGGTGTTTGTGTTTTTCCTGGGAGGTAAGCAATTTTAAGTTGTCACTACAATTGTGAGCTAAGAAGTAAGAATT